TCGTGTGGCACCCTAGCCAGGCCATTCCATCACGCACCCATCCTAAGATTAGCACCAGTGGCCCCAAATCTATCTTGGCACACTGACCTTCTTTTCCTCACTCGTGATACCACTAACACATGGTGTGTCCCTGTTCATTGTCACTCATTCAGCTTAGGAGTTTACACACCTTAATGAATATTTTATCACAAATCCTCATATCAGGGTCTGAATACTTTCCAAATGCACTGTACGTTTTCTCCCGTTTGGTGGGTGTGCCGAGGTGTGGCTTGAAGCAATGAGTGACGTATTTAAAGGTGACAGCGTTCCCCAACCCATAACCAACCCCTCCCTCCCTCCCTCGTTCAGTACAAACCATTCCGCAACATAGCAAACGTTCAAGCGAACTGAACGCACCTCAGGATCAAATCCTCTGTTTTTTTATACAGTATGACTTTACGCGCATAAAAACTGTTGATGGAAACGTGTTTATTATGCCAAATACTTCCCAATATTACACAGAGTTATTGATCAAGAAAGCTCACCCATGTTGATGTTGTCCATTGACATTCTTGAAACTGAAGGAGCCTCAGTCAAACACACAAACCAAGCAATGTGATGTCAGAGGACTTACTCCTCCCTGTATATATGGTATATTGCTGCGTTCATAACCATGTGGGAAGTGGGAATTTACCACACGAAAGGGAAAAATCCACTTGAACGGCCCCTCCAATGGGTAATTGATAGTGGGAAATTCGTCTATCATTCCGAGCTCTGAATTCTCCCACATGGTGACCTCTGATGTCACCGGTCACCTATTAAGGAAATGACCTCGATAAGTTTTATTGTTGCAGTTAAAATGCAACAAAATATTATTTATAAAAAGCAATCTAATGTGGTTTTTGAACACTATAATTTGTTTGCAAGCATGATAGCTGTACTTTTAGTTTCTCAACGAGTTCAAAGCACATGAATGCATTCAACTAGTATTTACAACTTCACAACTGTTAAATTCCCACCTCCCACTTGGTTATGAATGCAGCGTATGGCTCCTTCCCAAGCAGCCTGTTTCCTGATGCTTCCCAACAGGGCTGGGTTTCCCAAAAGCATCGTAGCACTAAGATCATCTTAATTCCATTAAAACTAAATGGATGAAAGGTGATCTTAGTGCTACAATGCTTTTGGGAAACTGGAGATCATTTATGTTTAGAAATACAACAAAATTATTTGTTTATGATAATTTATGATATTGAAAAAGTCCTCTCTGAGAGACAAGGTTTTCCAATCTCTCCCCAAATTTTCCCTAGGTGTGTGTTGTTCTTCCCAGTGGGCATACAACGTTATAAAATACGTATTTTTCTGGTTGAAATCTGGTATGCACTTCATATAACCAGATCACAACCAGATTAAGACGTCTTTATCATGACGTCTTTTTGGGGGGGTGCTGAGGAGTATTTCTGTCTGTAATAAACCCATTTTGTGGGGATGAACTCATTCTGATTGGCTGGGCCTGGCTCCCCAATGGGTGGGCCTGGATCCCAGGCCCACCCGTGGCTGCACCCCTGACCAGTCATGTGAAATCCATAGATTAGGGCCTAATGAATTTATTTCAGTTGACTGACTTCTTTATATGAACTGTAAATTATATGAACTGTATTTTTGAAATTGTTGCATGTTGCGTTTATATTTTTGTTCAGTGTATATAAACATGTGCATAGTATTTGTGGGCCATACACTCATTGAATATAAGACACGAAAACCATTACAACTGGAGTAATGTTCTTTTTCAGCAGGGTTTGCATGATTCAGCTTAGCACAGTTGGCAAACAACAGTTGGCAAACAACAGCTGGCAGAGCGCACCAAAGCGGTTTAGGGTCTCATGGCATACTGTAGTCAACATTCTGGGCTCGGGCCTATTTAGTTTGATATAAAATAAAATAAAAAGTTATTGGTCACATGCCGAAAACAACATGTGTAGACTTTACCGTGAAATGCTTACTTAGGAGCCCCATTCTCAACAATGCAGAGTTAAAAATAGGAAATAGGAAATAGTAACACAAAATAACAAGGCAATATACAAGGAGTACCAGTACCGAGTCAATTTGCAGGGGTACGAGATAGTGGAGGTAATTGAGGTAATACATTATGTACATGTAGGTAGGGGTAAAAGTGACTAGGCAATCAGGATAGATAATAAACAGTGTTCAGCAGCGTATGTGAAGAGTGTGAAAGTGTGTCTGTGTGAGTGTGTGTGGGGTCAATATGCATGTGTGTGAGCGTATGTAGTGTGTGTTGGAGTGTCAGTGTAGTATGTATGAGTGTGTAGATAGAGTCTAGTGAGTGTGCATAGAGCCAGTGCAAGGGAGTTTGTTGAAAAATATTAAGTAAAAAATAAAAAGGGTGTCAATATAAATAGTCCGGGTAGCCATTTGATGAACTGTTCAGCAGTCTTATGGCTTGGGGGTAGAAGCTGTTCAGGAGCCTTTTGGTCCCAGACTTGGCGCTCTGGTACCACTTGCCATGCAGTAGCAGAGAGAACAGTCTATGACTTGTGAAAGACTCCAGCCACCCAATGTTTAGGGCCTTTCTCTGACACCACCTGGTATAGAGGCCCTAGATGTCAGGATGTTTGGCCCCAGTGATGTACTGCGCTGTACGCACTACCCTCTGTAGTGCCCAGTGCTTAATTTGTCAATTGGGAAGTGCCGGAACAAAAAGTAAGCCCGAGAGAGGGGTGACCTGGGTGGCTCTTAGGTACCTGAACACATTTTTTATAGCCTAGGGTTCAGGAAAATTTTCAACGAATTTCATGCAATTCTACATAATTTTAGATGACTGGATACTTATTTAATACCTCACAAATGATCGAAATGACAGGGTACTTTGACACTGACAAACTGAGTATCTGAAATCAATCAAAACGACCTTGTGGAGATACACATATTGTACAATATGAGGAGGAAATTATAGTCCTAAAAAATATTTCCAGCTTCACTGACTCACCCAATGATGCGCAGCTCACTCGTGCCAAAAGCTTATCTCTCTTGTTTTACTTTGTAAAACAATGCTGTTCACTCAATAGGCCTATTTGGAAGTTGATAACTTGGTAGCCTACAGACAGATTAGTCTTCTCTTTTCAGCAGGATCCATTTTTGCTTTCCAACCTGTGTTTTCCCTTGATTGTATTTTAAATATTGCATCAAGCGCTATGATGAAACTGGCTCTCATGAGGACCGCCACAGGAATGGAAGACCTAGAGCTACCTCTGCTGCAGAGGATAAGTTCATTAGAGTTACCAGCCTCAGAAATTGCAGACCAAATAAATGCTTCACGGAGTTCAAGTCACAGAAACATCTCAACATCAACTGTTCAGGGGACTGTGTAAATCAGGCCTTCATGGTCGAATTGCTGCAAAAAAACACTACTAAAGGACACCAATAAGAAGAAGAGACCTGCTTGGGCCAAGAAACACGAGCAATGGACATTAGACCGGTGGAAATGTGTCCTTTGGTCTGGAGTCCAAATTGGAGATTTTTGGTTCCAACCACTGTGTCTTTGTGAGACTTGGTGAACGGATTATCTCTGCATGTGTAGCTCCCACCGTAAAGCACGGAGGAGGAGGTGTTATGGTGTGCTTTGCTGGTGACACTGTCTGTGATTTGTTTAGAACTCAAAGCACGCTTAACCAGCATGGCTACCACAGCATTCTGCAGTGATACGCCATCCCATCTGGTTTGGCCTTAGAGGGACTATTATTTGTTTTTCAACAGGCTGTGTAAGGGCTATTTTACCAAGAAGGAGAGTGATGGAGTGCTGCATCAGATGACCTGGCCTCCACAATCCCCCGAACTCAACCCAATTGAGATGGTTTGGGATGAGTCGGACCGCAGAGTGAAGAAAAAGCAGCCAACAAGTGCTCAGCATATGTGGGAACTCCTTCAAGACTGTTGGAAAAGCATTAAAGGTGAAGCTGGTTGAGCGAATGCCAAGATTGTGCAAAGCTGTCATCAAGGCAAAGGGTGGCTATTTGAAGAACCTCAAATATAAAATATATTTTAATTTGTTCAACACTTTTTGGTTACAACATGTGTTATTTCATAGTTTTGATGTCTTCACTATTATTCTACAACGTAGAAAACAGTAAAAATGAAGAAAAACCCTTGAATGAGTAGGTGTTCTAAAACTTTTGACTGGTACTGTATAAAAAATAAATAATAATGGCATTTTCCTACCAGTTTGCGACCAGAGTAAGAAGTCATAAAAAGACGTCATATTGACGTCTTTTCAACCAGGTTTTGCCCACTGGGTTCCTGCTCACTTTAAAAGGGTAGTCCACACAATTAACAAAACGCAGGCCTGGTTGCAGACGTAGTGCAATCAACGCTTTGGGTTGGTTTACCTAGCCACTGGCAAAGATAAAACATTTTCTAATAAAAAGAACTGGAAGTAAATACGATATTTAACATGTAAATTCCATGCCCAAATCAATGATCTCAAAGTAACTTCAAACCAAGACATTGAACTGATTTTCAATGGAATGGGCCCCCGTCCACATTAGTTGGCCTACAATAATATTTATAGCCTATAAATCTGCAATCACAAATGTCATTTTATACAGACAAATGCTTTAGTTTTCATGCATTTCCACTACATTAAAATGTAATCGAATTTCAATTAATCTCTTACATTGACCAAATTAAAATGGAATTGACCAATAAGCACAACCTCATTGGCAAGTTGAAAATATATTTATATTTATTCAGTCTTCATAGCAAGGGAATGCATTGCAACACTCACTGATCTTTTCACTAATCAACCTCAACAAATCCTCTTTATCAGTCAGAAATCAATGAGAACATTCAGTACCCTCATAACACTGTGTGCTATAGTCAACTTTTCTATCCTACAGCTCAGCACATACAGTATGGGACGAAGCCAAATATTCAGTATAATCAATGATATTATCAATATAATCATAGCGAGGATGAGACCCCAGCGTCAATAGGGCTGAATGTTGAGGTCACCCCCTGAACTTCGACGTCACCCATCCCACCGCTCCACCGGCTGCCGCTCCTACACTTCCCACAAACACTGTGGCCACACTAGTGAGTCCTGCAGCTCCTAGAGGAACAGCAACCAGATTAGGCCTATTTATGTCAAACACACTAGTTAAAATCATGACAGAACCACAAGACTGTCCTGATGAATTTAGTTTACATTACATTGAAAAATGCAATTTCTTGTCATCTTTACCTGCTGACTGTAGAGCAGCAACAAGGCTCCCTGCTGCTACCCCACCTCCATTGGCCACGGCTGCAGAAGACATCATGCCTGCTGCGGTTGATCCAGCTGCAACCCCACCAGCACCAAACCCCATCACTCCCAAAGCAACAGGGGCCATGAGCATTGCAGCTGTACCTGTCAGGCCCAAACAACAAACCTTTCAACAAGCAAACAAAAACACAGGAGTTCTGGGTCACACCTCCCATAAGCAGATATGGCACTACTGTCATGTGCACGAGGGCAAAATTATAGTGCAGAATGCAGATTGTAGACATGTCTCCCCATTCTGTTGTTTAAATTGTAATAAAGTGACAAACATTTGTTTTGACATTGGAGTTTTGTAGTAACAAATATCAGGATTCCATTATGCTGAGTCACGGGCCACCAGTCTATGGCCCGTGACGTGAACGGGCAAAAGCGGTGAGGGAGGAGCGCCCTTCTTAAATTGAACAGTAATTTGCGGCACTCTTATGTTGTCAACAAAGCAGCATGGTGCATCGTCCAGAAACATACAACATATATGTTTGAATTTTCAAATTACTTTTCATTTGGAAGGCAGATAAAGCATTTTTATCAAAAGCAAATCAATTGTACATGTGAAAACACAGAATCATACTCATTACTCCATGTGCTTAATTACGTCAATATTGTTTTGAGATGACATGGCCATGGGCTTTGAACGGGGCACCTGGCTCACGCCCAGGAAGCAGCCCGGGTCCAAAACGAATGCAATCAACTTTCACCCGGTGCAAAACACACCTACCCAGGTGCTCGGGCCAGATTAATTGAATCCCCTCATTGTAAGTATATATATATATATATATATATCAAATAAAAGCCATGTGCAAGTCACTTCTTCCCTTCTCAGCTGTCTATCTTAGCCTCCTGGTTTCCAACAATCAACTTGCCCAAATGGACACTTGGACTGACCCCTTCCACCCCAGGTCAGAGTGTTTTAATCGGAAGAAGACGACGCAAGTTTTGGCTGGTGACCAAGTTGACTGTTCACTAGGAAGATTGTGCGTCCGTCTAAGAAAGTGAGTTCAAATCAAATCAAATCAAATTTTATTGGTCACATGCGCCGAATACAACAGGTGCAGACATTACAGTGAAATGCTTACTTACAGCCCTTAACCAACAGTGCATTTATTTTTAACAAGAAAAGTAAAGATAAAACAACAACAAAAAAAAGGATTGAGAAAAAAAGAGCAGAAGTAAAATAAAATAACAGTAGGGAGGCTATATATACAGGGGGGTACCGTTGCAGAGTCAATGTGCGGGGGCACCGGCTAGTTGAGGTAGTTGAGGTAATATGTACATGTGGGTAGAGTTAAAGTGACTATGCATAAATAATTAACAGAGTAGCAACAGCGTAAAAAGGATGGGGTGGGGGGGAGGCAGTGCAAATAGTGAGGGTAGCCATGATTAGCTGTTCAGGAGTCTTATGGCTTGGGGGTAGAAGCTGTTGAGAAGTCTTTTGGACCTAGACTTGGCACTCCGGTACCGCTTGCCGTGCGGTAGCAGAGAGAACAGTCTATGACTAGGGTGGCTGGAGTCTTTGACAATTTTGAGGGCCTTCCTCTGACACCGCCTGGTATAGAGGTCCTGGATGGCAGGAAGAGTTGGGCCTACTGTTGGGGGTTTTGTGCTGCTAAACGATGCTTAGTTACTAATAGTACTGGAAGGCATGGATATAAGGATGAGCCCAACAACTTCTCTCTTAGATGGGTAATATTTAATATCCAACTGTTAGGTTCACATACAGCATGTCATACCTCAAAAGTTAGTTATTCCGTTTAGAAAAAGTATATTTCTAAATAACTGAAGAGTGTGTCTGTGTGTTAATACTATGGGTGGTGGTAAAACTCTGGATATGAACACATCTGCCTGGTTCTTGCCGGACCGCCTGTAGTGGGGTCAGACCAAAGTAGAGTCAGCATTAAGTCACTAATTGGTGAGGGCATCTAAGGCCAACCACTCAGATGGCTCCAGCTAGCCCTTTTTACAGTCATGTATCTGTAGGCTATTCATTCTTAGAGGAATTGGTAAAAGGACACTTTACCAGTTCCAACTGCCATGGCAATCACCGATACTAAATAGAGAAACAAGCATTCAGTACATAGGTCATCATCATTATGGTTAACTAAACTAATGCAATATTTTTCTTAGACAAAGCAGTTACCTTGCCAAAACTAACCCCAAACAATGAACTATACTCACCAGCCACCATTTTCTTGGATTCAACTAGCTAAAAGTGAGATAAAGATTCAGTTAATGTTGTTGTTAGTGACAAAAGATCTACAGGCTATCTCAGAAGGAAACTGATAATACAGCGCCAACACAACATAGCATACAGCATTATAACAGAATAAATCAAATATGGACATGTTACCTACCCGTTTGAGTCTTTGTTCAATGAGAGTGACTCTTGGATGTGTAGACTATAATATAATACACAAAAGTAAACCGGAGTAGGCTACAGTACTTTAGTGTCATTCGACAATCCTGATTTCGCGACAGCACATGCTTCTTATTCGATGGGGTTTAGCGGCGGTTGTCATCCAATGTTAATGGTTCATTATCGCCACCAGCTGGCTGGTGTATTGAATAAGAAACTTTAAAAAACATTGCGGGAAAACGACATCATAAAAAATAAAACAGGTCAACTAAGAAAACCCATCCCACTTCTTCAATCACAGTCCACTCCAAAATACATCCCTACACAGATGGCGGTCCATTCACTGACAGGATTTCTTGCACGGCCGTGAAATCACAAAGACCCAAAAAACGTTCAGCGGCATTCACAATGATTCCAATTTTCTTAGACTTCTTCTCCACGTGTGCTGTACGGTTTATGACCATTGCAATAAATAATACAAAGTCCACCTTTTTAACATGTAGTATTTCACTATCCCTCGGTTGATGAGAAACCTTCACTGGTCGTGGTGGCTCTATTACCATTGTTTCTTCCCCGCCATTCGTTACTTCCAATCTTCTCACCGCCTCCAGATAGGAGACACGCTGGACACTCCTTAACCACCTCATTCTCATTCACCCTAACAGGGCACTCTAGGCGCATGTTCACCTCCACAGTTGTAGCATTCACGTCATCTGGTTTACGATATTCTTCCCTTCTGCACACACTTGACCAAATCTTTTACATTTATGACACTGAAGGGGCTTGTGCACAAAAGCTCTTACAGGGTATCTCGTGAATACTAACTTTATATGAGAAGGGAGAGACTCATCAAAAACAGTCGCATGGATTAAGTGAAATTATTTTCAGCATACAGGTCAGTCGACGTGCACCAACCACTCCATCGATGTCTTCAGTATTATCCTCTGCCTTCATTTCTTGCGCCCCCCAGAAATAACCCACTTGATAGGCGCCCTGCTACGAAAATCCACACACAGGAAACTTTCACTCCGATATCTTGAGTCTTAAAACACACTTCTGCTCCGCAGACACACAAAAACTCAAAATAAGACCACTTCTTGTAAGATCACACTCTGTTTCAAAATGTTTATGATCAAGTCCAGAGTAGTCAATAACTCTGTGGTAGCCTACAGTACTTTTGTTCATGAGTCAGAGCTGTAACTTTGTGATCATCTACTGGACAAATACGTTTGTGGAAATCTTCTTCGGAGTTAACAGCGGTCGACAATACCGTTGCAATACCGCCCCCAACTGGACTATAATATATATCCATTATACTTTGCGATAAAGGGAAAAGGATTACCAAATATTTCTTATAACTAAACCAAGATAGACCACAACCTGTCGTTTCCAATGGGAACAAATGAGTCATAGTGGGTAGAACAAGAAAGGAGGTGGGCAGAGCCAAGCACGAGCTAGCGAGATCCTATTGGTGCGTTCTAGCATGCATCTGCATACTTCCGTTAGGGAAAGCCTACTATGAAGTGTTTGTGCCCAATAACTCAATTTTCCTTTGCACTCCTAAACAACGCAATTTTTAAAAACTTGTACAAAGAGTAAACTCTATAAAACTTTACCCACTCTGTTCATAACATATTCTAGTTTTGGGAACAGAAAATTGCATTGAGATCAAATATTTCATCGATGAGAAAATCTGCAGAATGACGGCCAAAATCCATCTCGTTCCATCTTCTCCCACCTCCAGCCAGTGGGCTTCCTCTCACTACCATATTTGGTAGTGAGTGGAAAAGCAAGGCGGATGCTTCACATTTATACCTCCGGTGAAATATCGGTCATTGTTCTGTGGGATTACTCTACCTCTATGATATCATTGCAGTCGGCAAACAAATGTTTAAAGTGCATGCCGCCACCTACTGTGCTGGAATGTACCCTCAATCATGATCTGCCCAATTCTGTACTACCATGAAAATTAAATTCAAAAACAAAGAAATCCCTAACTTCTACCACACCCTCCCCCCAAACCCTCCTCCAACCTCATTAAACTTTATCATGCTGAAACACTCCACCCTTAGGATTGTTCAGTGTCATGACTCACATGTGATGGCCCCACATGAGAATTCCAAGATCAGAATACAGAGAAGCAACAGTCTACTCTCTCTCTCTAAAAAGAACTGGAAGTAAAAACGATATTTAACATGTAAATTCCATGCCCAAATCAATGATCTCAAAGTAACTTCAAACCAAGACATTGAACTGATTTTCAATGGAATGGGCCCCCGTCCACATTAGTTGGCCTATAATAATATTTATAGCCTATAAATCTGCAATCACAAATGTCATTTTATACAGACAAATCCTTTAGTTTTCATGCATTTTCACTACATTAAAATGTAATCGAATTTCAATTAATCTCTTACATTGACCAAATTAAAATGGAATTGACCAATAAGCACAACCTCCTTGGCATATTGAAAATATATTTATTTTTCTTCAGTCTTCATAGCAAGGGAATGCATTGCAATACTCACTGATCTTTTCACTAATCAACCTCAACACATCCTCTTTATCAGTCAGAAATCAATGAGAACATTCAGTACCCTCATAACACTGTGTGCTATAGTCAACTTTTCTATCCTACAGCTCAGCACATACAGTATGGGACGAAGCCAAATATTCAGTATAATCAATGATATTATCAATATAATCATAGCGAGGATGAGACCCCAGCGTCAATAGGGCTGAATGTTGAGGTCACCCCCTGAACTTCGACGTCACCCATCCCACCGCTCCACCGGCTGCCGCTCCTACACTTCCCACAAACACTGTGGCCACACTAGTGAGTCCTGCAGCTCCTAGAGGAACAGCAACCAGATTAGGCCTATTTATGTCAAACACACTAGTTAAAATCATGACAGAACCACAAGACTGTCCTGATGAATTTAGTTTACATTACATTGAAAAATTCAATTTCTTGTCATCTTTACCTGCTGACTGTAGAGCAGCAACAAGGCTCCCTGCTGCTACCCCACCTCCATTGGCCACGGCTGCAGAAGACATCATGCCTGCTGCGGTTGATCCAGCTGCAACCCCACCAGCACCAAACCCCATCACTCCCAAAGCAACAGGGGCCATGAGCATTGCAGCTGTACCTGTCAGGCCCAAACAACAAACCTTTCAACAAGCAAACAAAAACACAGGAGTTCTGGGTCACACCTCCCATAAGCAGATATGGCACTACTGTCATGTGCACGAGGGCAAAATTATAGTGCAGAATGCAGATTGTAGACATGTCTCCCCATTCTGTTGTTTAAATTGTAATAAAGTGACAAACATTTGTTTTGACATTGGAGTTTTGTAGTAACAAATATCAGGATTCCATTATGCTGAGTCACGGGCCACCAGTCTATGGCCCGTGACGTGAACGGGCAAAAGCGGTGAGGGAGGAGCGCCCTTCTTAAATTGAACAGTAATTTGCGGCACTCTTATGTTGTCAACAAAGCAGCATGGTGCATCGTCCAGAAACATACAACATATATGTTAGAATTTTCAAATTACTTTTCATTTGGAAGGCAGATAAAGCATTTTTATCAAAAGCAAATCAATTGTACATGTGAAAACACAGAATCATACTCATTACTCCATGTGCTTAATTACGTCAATATTGTTTTGAGATGACATGGCCATGGGCTTTGAACGGGGCACCTGGCTCACGCCCAGGAAGCAGCCCGGTTCCAAAACGAATGCAATCAACTTTCACCCGGTGCAAAACACACCTACCCAGGTGCTCGGGCCAGATTAATTGAATCCCCTCATTGTAAGTATATATATATATATATATATATATATATATATATATCAAATAAAAGCCATGTGCAAGTCACTTCTTCCCTTCTCAGCTGTCTATCTTAGCCTCCTGGTTTCCAACAATCAACTTGCCCGAATGGACACTTGGACTGACCCCTTCCACCCCAGGTCAGAGTGTTTTAATCGGAAGAAGACAACGCAAGTTTTGGCTGGTGACCAAGTTGACTGTTCACTAGGAAGATTGTGCGTGCGTCTAAGAAAGTGAGTTCAAATCAAATCAAATCAAATTTTATTGGTCACATGCGCCGAATACAACAGGTGCAGACATTACAGTGAAATGCTTACTTACAGCCCTTAACCAACAGTGCATTTATTTTTAACAAGAAAGGTAAAGATAAAACAACAACAACAAAAAAGTATTGAGAAAAAAAGAGCAGAAGTAAAACCGGCTAGTTGAGGTAGTTGAGGTAATATGTACATGTGGGTAGAGTTAAAGTGACTATGCATAAATAATTAACAGAGTAGCAGCAGCGTAAAAAGGATGGGGTGGGGGGGGCAGTGCAAATAGTCCGGGTAGCCATGATTAGCTGTTCAGGAGTCTTATGGCTTGGGGGTAGAAGCTGTTGAGAAGTCTTTTGGACCTAGACTTGGCACTCCGGTACCGCTTGCCGTGCGGTAGCAGAGAGAACAGTCTATGACTAGGGTGGCTGGAGTCTGACAATTTTGAGGGCCTTCCTCTGACACCGCCTGGTATAGAGGTCCTGGATGGCAGGAATAGTTGGGCCTACTGTTGGGGGTTTTGTGCTGCTAAACGATGCTTAGTTACTAATAGTACTGGAAGGCATGGATATAAGGATGAGCCCAACAACTTCTCTCTTAGATGGGTAATATTTAATATCCAACTGTTAGGTTCACATACAGCATGTCATACCTCAAAAGTTAGTTATTCCGTTTAGAAAAAGTATATTTCTAAATAAATGAAGAGTGTGTCTGTGTGTTAATACTATGGGTGGTGGTAAAACTCTGGATATGAACACATCTGCCTGGTTCTTGCCGGACCGCCTGTAGTGGGGTCAGACCAAAGTAGAGTCAGCATTAAGTCACTAATTGGTGAGGGCATCTAAGGCCAACCGCTCAGATGGCTCCAGCTAGCCCTTTTTACAGTCATGTATCTGTAGGCTATTCATTCTTAGAAGAATTGGTAAAAGGACACTTTACCAGTTCCAACTGCCATGGCAATCACCGATACTAAATAGAGAAACAAGCATTCAGTACATAGGTCATCATCATTATGGTTAACTAAACTAATGCAATATTTTTCTTGACAAAGCAGTTACCTTGCCAAAACTAACCCCAAACAATGAACTATACTCACCAGCCACCATTTTCTTGGATTCAACTAGCTAAAAGTGAGATAAAGATTCAGTTAATGTTGTTGTTAGTGACAAAAGATCTACAGGCATTCTCACAGGCTATCTCAGAAGGAAACTGATAATACAGCGCCAACACAACATAGCATACAGCATTATAACAGAATAAATCAAATATGGACATGTTACCTACCCGTTTGAGTCTTTGTTCAATGAGAGTGACTCTTGGATGTGTAGACTATAATATAATACACAAAAGTAAACCGGAGTAGGCTACAGTACTTTAGTGTCATTCGACAATCCTGATTTCGCGACAGCACATGCTTCTTATTCGATGGGGTTTAGCGGCGGTTGTCATCCAATGTTAATGGTTCATTATCGCCACCAGCTGGCTGGTGTATTGAATAAGAAACTTTAAAAAACATTGCGACAAAACGACATCATAAAAAATAAAACAGGTCAACTAAGAAAACCCATCCCACTTCTTCAATCACAGTCCACTCCAAAATACATCCCTACACAGATGGCGGTCCATTCACTGACAGGATTTCTTGCACGGCCGTGAAATCACAAAGACCCAAAAAACGTTCAGCTGCATTCACAATGATTCCAATTTTCTTAGACTTCTTCTCCACGTGTGCTGTACGGTTTATGACCATTGCAATAAATAATACAAAGTCCACCTTTTTAACATGTAGTATTTCACTATCCCTCGGTTGATGAGAAACCTTCACTGGTCGTGGTGGCTCTATTACCATTGTTTCTTCCCCGCCATTCGTTACTTCCAATCTTCTCACCGCCTCCAGATAGGATACACGCTGGACACTCCTTAACCACCTCATTCTCATTCACCCTAACAGGGCACTCTAGGCGCATGTTCACCTCCACAGTTGCAGCATTTCACGTCATCTGGTTTACGATATTCTTTCCTTCTGCACACACTTGACCAGGGGCGGTGTGTTCATTAGGGCGATATGGGCGACGCACTGCCAAACGGGAAAAGGAAGGGATTTTTTTTCTAATCAATTATATCACGGCAACAGTAGTTATCAGTGTTCTAATCTAGACGTCTGATCTGCCACTAAATGTCCAATCAGGCTAAAGTCGTGCTGCAAATGGCCCCGCACCTTTTGGGGCGATTTCAGTCAGGTTGAAAATCGCCCAGGAGTCTCTCATAGACTCTCATGTAAAATCTTTTTTTTTTCAAATATCAGAGCTTTCAATACAATCTCTATGGGTTCCGGGAGGGCTTGCACTTACGCGCTTTCGTCATACGTAACATAACCATGAACATAACTAAGAAAAGAGCGGGTAGCAGCGTCAATCAATTCACGTACTACTGTCAAGATGGCTAGCTTTGCGAGGCAAAGATGAAACTGAGGACTCCACCAACCCTGGTATTTTTTTGGACTTGTCAACTTTGTGGCACAATTAGATGAGGTGTTTGATGACCATCTTAAAAATGCTAAAGTTTTCAAGGGCACATCAAAGACCATTCAAAACGAGCTACTGGAGTGTATGCTAGCGGTCATGAGGGAACATATTGTGGAGGAGGTGAAGTCGGCGAACTTCGTAGCTATCCAAGCTGACGAGACCACGGACGTTTCTACACAGACACAGCTGGTGCTTGTGCTGAGGTACATAGATAGCAACCACAAAGTGCAGGAGCGCTTTTTTGAGTTCCTTCCCATCTCGGAATCAACCTCAGTCTCAATCGCCAGTGTGCTTTTGGAGAGACTGAACAGTCTTTTTGCCGACGACGAGAAAGTCAAACTCATTGCGCAAGCTTACGATGGAGCCAGTGTGATGAGGGGAGAGAAGGCTGGTGTGCAGCAAAAGGTGCGTGAGCATTTCAAGAATGCCCATTACGTGCATTGCTATGCGCATCAGCTGAATTTGATCATGCAGCAAGCTAGAACAGTTTCAGTACAAGTAATGTAGCCTCTCTCTCTCTTTGTCCCTCCCTGTCTGTCTCTTTAACACACACACGCCCAAATCAGTTCACAGTTGATGTTGTTTAAAATAGTTATTTTTCATTTATTTTAAAGTAAAAAAATAAATAAAAATCTGTTCATGTTCATTTTTACAAATCTATACAATTGGCCAGAATATGGTTGTTCATATTTACAAATCTATACAATTGGCCAGAATATGGTTGTTCATATTTACAAATCTATACAATTGGCCAGAATATGGTTGTTCATTTTTACAAAGCCATACAGATAGCTGTGTTTACCTTTTCTAGAAATTATTTTCAAATTCTGTTTTCAGGCAAAATGTCTATCACTGTTCATTTTCACAAATCTATACAAGAGGGCAGAATATGGAAGTCTATAAAAATTTCTTATTACCAATAACTTGCATCAATGTTTTCAGTAGCCTCTATCAAAAGCTCCTGCTTGCTTGTTGTGAATTATGCTCAGGTGCACATATTTCCAATTCAACCATGAGGCCTTTTTGAAGCAAGTAATGTGTATATCAGTATTGACTTATATGCTGCCCCTGTCTTCATGTTGTTGCTGGACATATCTTTTTTTAAATGTGTGTAGGTCACCTAAATCATCAGAAAAATTGCCCCCCCTGAGAATTTTTTCAGGAGCCGCCACTGCACTTGACCAAATCTTTTACATTTATGACACTGAAGGGGCTTGTGCACAAAAGCTCTTACAGGGTATCTCGTGAATACTAACTTTATATGAGAAGGGAGAGACTCATCAAAAACAGTCGCATGGATTAAGTGAATTTATTTTCAGCATACAGGTCAGTCGACGTGCACCAACCACTCCATCGATGTCTTCAGTATTATCCTCTGCCTTCATTTCTTGCGCCACCCCAGAAATAACCCACTTGATAGGCGCCCTGCTACAAAAATCCACACACAGGAAACTTTCACTCCGATATCTTGAGTCTTAAAACACACTTCTGCTCCGCAGACACACAAAAACTCAAAATAAGACCACTTCTTGTAAGATCACACTCTGTTTCAAAATGTTTATGATCAAGTCCAGAGTACAGTCAATAACTCTGTGGTAGCCTACAGTACTTTTGTTCATGAGTCAGAGCTGTAACTTTGTGATCATCTACTGGACAAATACATTTGTGGAAATCTTCTTCGGAGTTAACAGCGGTCGGCAATACCGTTGCAATACCGCCCCCAACTGGACTATAATATATATCCATTATACTTTGCGATAAAGGGAAAAGGATTACCAAATATTTCTTATAACTAAACCAAGATAGACCACAACCTGTCGTTTCCAATGGGAACAAATGAGTCATAGTGGGTAGAACAAGAAAGGAGGTGGGCAGAGCCAAGCACGAGCTAGCGAGATCCTATTGGTGCGTTCTAGCATGCATCTGCATACTTCCGTTAGGGAAAGCCTACTATGAAGTGTTTGTGCCCAATAACTCAATTTTCCTTTGCACTCCTAAACAACGCAATTTTTAAAAACTTGTACAAAGAGTAAACTCTATAAAACTTTACCCACTCTGTTCATAACATATTCTAGTTTTGGGAACAGAAAATTGCATTGAGATCAAATATTTCATCGATGAGAAAATCTGCAGAATGACGGCCAAAATCCATCTCGTTCCATCTTCTCCCACCTCCAGCCAGTGGGCTTCCTCTCACTACCATATTTGGTAGTGAGTGGAAAAGCAAGGCGGATGCTTCACATTTATACCTCCGGTGAAATATCGGTCATTGTTCTGTGGGATTACTCTACCTCTATGATATCATTGCAGTCGGCAAACAAATGTTTAAAGTGCATGCCGCCACCTACTGTGCTGGAATGTACCCTCAATCATGATCTGCCCAATTCTGTACTACCATGAAAATTAAATTCAAAAACAAAGAAATCCCTAACTTCTACCACACCCTCCCCCCAAACCCTCCTCCAACCTCATTAAACTTTATCATGCTGAAACACTCCACCCTTAGGATTGTTCAGTGTCATGACTCACATGTGATGGCCCCACATGAGAATTCCAAGATCAGAATACAGAGAAGCAACAGTCTACTCTCTCTCTCTAAAAAGAACTGGAAGTAAAAACGATATTTAACATGTAAATTCCATGCCCAAATCAATGATCTCAAAGTAACTTCAAACCAAGACATTGAACTGATTTTCAATGGAATGGGCCCCCGTCCACATTAGTTGGCCTATAATAATATTTATAGCCTATAAATCTGCAATCACAAATGTCATTTTATACAGACAAATCCTTTAGTTTTCATGCATTTTCACTACATTAAAATGTAATCGAATTTCAATTAATCTCTTACATTGACCAAATTAAAATGGAATTGACCAATAAGCACAACCTCCTTGGCATATTGAAAATATATTTATTTTTCTTCAGTCTTCATAGCAAGGGAATGCATTGCAATACTCACTGATCTTTTCACTAATCAACCTCAACACATCCTCTTTATCAGTCAGAAATCAATGAGAACATTCAGTACCCTCATAACACTGTGTGCTATAGTCAACTTTTCTATCCTACAGCTCAGCACATACAGTATGGGACGAAGCCAAATATTCAGTATAATCAATGATATTATCAATATAATCATAGCGAGGATGAGACCCCAGCGTCAATAGGGCTGAATGTTGAGGTCACCCCCTGAACTTCGACGTCACCCATCCCACCGCTCCACCGGCTGCCGCTCCTACACTTCCCACAAACACTGTGGCCACACTAGTGAGTCCTGCAGCTCCTAGAGGAACAGCAACCAGATTAGGCCTATTTATGTCAAACACACTAGTTAAAATCATGACAGAACCACAAGACTGTCCTGATGAATTTAGTTTACATTACATTGAAAAATTCAATTTCTTGTCATCTTTACCTGCTGACTGTAGAGCAGCAACAAGGCTCCCTGCTGCTACCCCACCTCCATTGGCCACGGCTGCAGAAGACATCATGCCTGCTGCGGTTGATCCAGCTGCAACCCCACCAGCACCAAACCCCATCACTCCCAAAGCAACAGGGGCCATGAGCATTGCAGCTGTACCTGTCAGGCCCAAACAACAAACCTTTCAACAAGCAAACAAAAACACAGGAGTTCTGGGTCACACCTCCCATAAGCAGATATGGCACTACTGTCATGTGCACGAGGGCAAAATTATAGTGCAGAATGCAGATTGTAGACATGTCTCCCCATTCTGTTGTTTAAATTGTAATAAAGTGACAAACATTTGTTTTGACATTGGAGTTTTGTAGTAACAAATATCAGGATTCCATTATGCTGAGTCACGGGCCACCAGTCTATGGCCCGTGACGTGAACGGGCAAAAGCGGTGAGGGAGGAGCGCCCTTCTTAAATTGAACAGTAATTTGCGGCACTCTTATGTTGTCAACAAAGCAGCATGGTGCATCGTCCAGAAACATACAACATATATGTTAGAATTTTCAAATTACTTTTCATTTGGAAGGCAGATAAAGCATTTTTATCAAAAGCAAATCAATTGTACATGTGAAAACACAGAATCATACTCATTACTCCATGTGCTTAATTACGTCAATATTGTTTTGAGATGACATGGCCATGGGCTTTGAACGGGGCACCTGGCTCACGCCCAGGAAGCAGCCCGGTTCCAAAACGAATGCAATCAACTTTCACCCGGTGCAAAACACACCTACCCAGGTGCTCGGGCCAGATTAATTGAATCCCCTCATTGTAAGTATATATATATATATATATATATATATCAAATAAAAGCCATGTGCAAGTCACTTCTTCCCTTCTCAGCTGTCTATCTTAGCCTCCTGGTTTCCAACAATCAACTTGCCCGAATGGACACTTGGACTGACCCCTTCCACCCCAGGTCAGAGTGTTTTAATCGGAAGAAGACAACGCAAGTTTTGGCTGGT